TCTGCTGTGTGAGATTTGTAATAAAATAATAAATGTTTTAATAAGTAATGATTACTTGCTCAGAAGACTACATAAAATTATTTCCCTCTTCTAGTTGATGTTTTCCTTCATCAGAAACATCAGCCATACAAGATTGCTTGAATGCATTCAATAAGAAAAATTCAACTGAAATTTAGTGCAGATTTTATAATTATTATCGCTTTTTAAAATTCATATTTTCATACAAATAATGCTATTTGCTGCATATGTTGAGAAGGAACTAAGGAACCAATATGGTGGCTTTATAAAGAACACGATTATCATAAAGAAAAAGCAAATGCTTCCATTAGATATCGCCATCTACTTTTATTATTCAAGGCATAAAATTGGCCAAGCGGTTCCGTTCTCTGAACACTGGGAGTTCGGTTTGTGGTTTCTCGCCTCCCCGGTCGGACTATCCGCGTGGAGTTTTCACGTCTGTAACGTCTGATAGGGGCCAGTTACTCTTAAAAGATCTCCTGAAAGGCATTATTCCCCGCGTAACGACCATCATAAACGCATACAACTACTATTACATGACAATTACGTCACACGGGGCAATATAGTCTAGAAGGTCATGCTCAACTAGCCGATACAAGGTCCTACGCGCGCCATCTACTGATTTCGCCAGATCGTGGCATAACTTGTACACATAATTGCCTTACACGAAATTCAAGGTGAGGGCATTTTTAATTACATTGATGGTGGTCTCTGCCAGGCCGTCGGGTGATAAGAGAAAGATCTTGACATATTCGGAATACACGCCTATGAAAATTCCTAAAATTTTTTGTTATATCACTGAGATCCATTAATGGTAAGCATTATCTTCATGTTTTAGTAGTAAAATCTGAACATATTGGACGCATACAGGTGGCAAGCAGCTAAGTAAGCGAGCCAATGATAGTTCCTTTCATTCGAAACGTGCTAGTTTCTCAGTTGCTCTTTATTCATTTGTTTTTTTACAGATACGAAAGACTTAAGTTTGAAAGGATTTACGTAAAAATCTCACAAAAATTTTGGTATATAATTGTTTTACCGAAATAACAAATGCTTTTAGGACATTAATCATTGTCTTTTCAGATTAAGAAAAAATATTTAGCAGAGAAACCATATATTATCATAATAAGGGGGCGCTTCTGTCTGCCGAAGCTGCTGGCGCGTTTTACTACTCACTTCAATCACAGGTAAAGAACGTATCCTGACAAATAATTTTACGTTAAATTTTTTGTTTGTGCTGTATGGAACCATTATAAGTACTGGAAAATTTATCAATATAATTAATATGCAACGTTCGCCAACTAAAAGAGGAAGACCACCACGTCAAAAGGCAAAATCAATTAGTAGAAAGGAAACTGCTTCGACCACTAATATTATGTTAATCACAGATTGTAATGAACACGTAGAAAGAACTTCTCCTGAACCACTCTCTGCAAATGCAGGTTTGAACCCTGAAACATCACTTCTAAGTTCACAAATATCAGGTGAGCCATTTGATTTTTTATCTTCACCAGGAAAATTGGAAAATTCATCTGATATGTCGGGTTTGACACTATGGAATAAAATTTCCGAATTAATTAATGTTTCTAACACGAGAATTTTAAATCAAATGACTATTATTAAAGAAGATTTGGACCAGATTCGTAATAGTATTCAAGAAACTAAGGATCAGAATCAGAAAATTAATAGCCAAATAATTAATCTTGAACAACAAATTGTTAATTTGAAAATAGAAAATGAAAGTATGCACTATCGAATGGACAATATGGTTAATGTGCAACATCGTAATAATATAATGTTTTATAGATATCCTAGTAAAACCAGTCCTACCAAGTTAGAAGTGTTTAATCTTATTAAAGAATCATTTGAATTACATGAAGTTACAATGGATGATCTAATAGCGATTATTCCAATAACTAAATCACAGTATCCAACAATTAANATCATAACGAGTTTGCTTGAATTTCCTTTCTTCTGAGATCGCAGCAATGCGCGACGGGTAAGCTAGTATTTTATAAAACCCATTCCAACCCTCAAAACCAAGTCTTTTTTTGTTATTTTATTGCCTGGGGAACCCAGGTTACTGGGGTGACGTATATACTTTTTTGTCCGAATTTAAAAAAAAAATCCCACGTTATATTTTGATGATTTTGGTGCAAAAATGCTCAGTATAACTCTGGCATGTGCACAAATTACATTTTGTAAAATATAATTAACTCTGAGAAAAGATATATTCAAAAAACAAAAGTGTCGCCTCTTTGACGCTTAATAAAAAAAGTATTTTGACATGTTTGGATGCTGTTTGCAACATAAAGCCAGAAAGTTGCTTGATATTTTTCCAGAGTTTGGTGAATTTCCGTCGAACTGCGGAAAAGTTATCCGAGTTATTTACGTTCTTCATCCCTACTAGATGATACCTAGCTCTTCAATTGCGTAGCTGTAATAACGGAACGCTTCTGGAATAATGTGGACTAAGTCATTTTTTTAAGGTGTAGACATTTTGATTTCATTTTTGTACTAAAATACAGTCAATTCTGTTTAATTAGGCCACCGGTTAATTGGGGCAGCCGCTTTTTTGAGCAAATCTCAAAAACCAAACTAATAAACTAATATATAATTTAAACGCTTAAGACAAACCCGAATGCGAGCTCCAATTTATCCAAGACTTTTCCCACTTAAATGCCAACTGATTTTATTTTATTATTCTTTTATTTCTTATTTTTTAGTTCAGTTTACTTTATTTGTTTACTTTACTTTCATTTAATTTCTTTATTACACTGTTCTTTTTTATTTGTATTTTTCATCATATTTTTTTCTTTTCTCAACAATAAATCACTTACAATCTTTTATTTGTGACATATTACTTCTTAAACTACGCGCCCGGGCTAATTACATCGATAAACATTGCCTCGAGTATCTTGATATCACCTATCTAGTTATAGTTAAAAGTGTAAATAGTTTTTTAATAAAATATGATTACAGATGGCACCAATAAATGTGTCAGGGAAAGTTAAGCAACTCGATGCTGAATTTTTCTCTAATTGTTTTTATATTTATGAATTCGAAGTTTCTATCATTCGATAGGGATATTAAATACTTTTTAAAAATTCAGATAAAATTTTTATACACATAACCAATTTACTGTAAAAATAAACAATAATATTTGGAGATAGTACGTCTTAAAATTACTATTCCGAGACAGAAAATTCAAAATAAATCGTTGGTAATAAATGGCGACATTTAAATAACTGAATATCTATAAATCTGACCGGTTATTAAAATAGTTCATTGTTTGACAGCAATTTTATCATAAAATAGATAATTTTCATCGTTCGTGTTCTTACCAATTGACAGATAAAAGTTTGATCTTTATACAGAATCTACGAGATGTCAACGTTTCTTTAGACTTTGTAATTTTATACGAGTGTTAAAAGGAGATGAACGTGAAAAGTGGAAGAGCATTAGTAATAGGTGGTGCACAGGGGATAGGAAAAGCTGTTTGTGAAGCATTGTTAAGCAGAGGATGTAAGGTAAGATGTTATTTAGATTTTATTTATTTATAAAATTTAGTGTATATGTACTAAATTAAAATAGTTGGAATATAAAACAATCAATAGCAGAGGAAAAACAATCAATAGGTTAATCGCTTGCCGACATTGACAATTTTTAAACAAGTTTATTAATTATGGGAGATATAATAAGATATAATAAAAGTTGAAATAATAATGTTAGATGTGCGTAGCCTACTCTATTACGTATTTTACAAACTTTTCTGAAGAAATATAGCATGAGATAAAGCATTTTTCGAAAATTTGAAGTTAGTAACTATATTTATATAGGCTACATACACGGTATAAACATACAGTCGAACCTCCAACAACGGACATTCTTTATGTTTCTATTACTGGTCGTTGTAAAGAGGTTTCGCTGTATATATAAGAATACAATTCAAATTAATATCCCAACAAATTGATGTATTTAATAATAATTATTTTAATATTCAGGTTTGTTGTGTAGATGTGAATGACGAAAAAGGCCAACAAATTGTGGAAGAGTTGCAAAAGACTTTCGGAGAATAAAACTGCATATTTGCCAAATGTGATGTTTCGTCTTTGGAAGAATTTGAGAGTATTTATTGTATTTTATAATTTTTTCTAATTACAGTTGTCCCTTGATAATCCGACAGGTATGGGACCAAAGGTGTTTCAGATTACCAAAAGTGTCCGGATTACCGAAAATAATTACATATTTCGCATTGTTTTGCTAGCAGTAACTTACAATATTCTCTACTCCAACTGTTCGAACAGAACTGCTCACATAAAACACACGAAATGTGTGTCATCGTGTGAAAATCAGATGGGGAGATTCACATCGCAACATGCTTCTGTGCAAGCAGACACGTAACGGGGACGGGTACCTTGACGGGAGGTGCGTCGGACTACTGAGCATGTCGGATTAAAAAACGTTGGACTATAGAGGGACAACTGTATTAGGAAGCAGTTTTGGAGAAGAAAATATGACTTACATTAATGTTTGTTGCTGATGGTAATCCAAGCACACAACTTTTAGGAATTTTGGTGTTTTGATAAACTTTGTATTACCTGAAGTTATTGAAGAATCAAATGTGTAAAAAGCATTATTATCTGGTCAACAATTATCATATAATGTAAAAAAACATAATCATCATCCATAACGACATCTCTGCACCAATTTTTCCTGACTCAAAATTTCAAGCCTCATTTTTTGCTTTGCTTCTTGTTGTGGTATTGTTGCAGAAGTTTATTTTTTCCTCAAAGGACACCAAATAATATCAATTTATCCTGACAGTAGCTCTTGCTTTGAAGCCAACTTTCTGATAGTTCCGTCATAATTCTTGGCTGAATTTTTGAATTTGTTCAATTTTCTTCATAGACAACCACTATAGACTATGCTTTGACTAAATGGCTTATGATGTTTCAGTTTCCTAAATAGGCATTTAGGGGGGCGCTTCTGTCTGCCGAAGCTGCTGGCGCGTTTTACTACTCACTTCAATCACAGGTAAAGAACGTATCCTGACAAATAATTTTACGTTAAATTTTTTGTTTGTGCTGTATGGAACCATTATAAGTACTGGAAAATTTATCAATATAATTAATATGCAACGTTCGCCAACTAAAAGAGGAAGACCACCACGTCAAAAGGCAAAATCAATTAGTAGAAAGGAAACTGCTTCGACCACTAATATTATGTTAATCACAGATTGTAATGAACACGTAGAAAGAACTTCTCCTGAACCACTCTCTGCAAATGCAGGTTTGAACCCTGAAACATCACTTCTAAGTTCACAAATATCAGGTGAGCCATTTGATTTTTTATCTTCACCAGGAAAATTGGAAAATTCATCTGATATGTCGGGTTTGACACTATGGAATAAAATTTCCGAATTAATTAATGTTTCTAACACGAGAATTTTAAATCAAATGACTATTATTAAAGAAGATTTGGACCAGATTCGTAATAGTATTCAAGAAACTAAGGATCAGAATCAGAAAATTAATAGCCAAATAATTAATCTTGAACAACAAATTGTTAATTTGAAAATAGAAAATGAAAGTATGCACTATCGAATGGACAATATGGTTAATGTGCAACATCGTAATAATATAATGTTTTATAGATATCCTAGTAAAACCAGTCCTACCAAGTTAGAAGTGTTTAATCTTATTAAAGAATCATTTGAATTACATGAAGTTACAATGGATGATCTAATAGCGATTATTCCAATAACTAAATCACAGTATCCAACAATTAAATTAATTATTAAAAATTCTCAAATAAGAGATTATATTTATTCGAGTTTTATAAAAATGAAACAACAAAATCTATCGAATCTATGGAAAGAAACTCAAATTTCACAGGACCTCACTAAAAGATCTAGATTAAGACGAAAACAATTAATTCCTTTTTTAAGCGAGTTAAAGAAAGCAGGTAAATATCCTAAACTCCGAGGTGATTCTATTCTGTTGGGCAATTATTCTTTGACGTATAGCTATGTGTTGGAGGAGCTGGTATACTCGGATTCTTTTACCCCGTTTTCTACTTCTGAGAATACTCTGCAATGACATATTATTAATTTAAATACACCTATCCAAGACTTACGCTTTGTGGAGACTCAAATTTCAAGTCCTTTGTCTGCTGCAAATAATAAATGAAAGTTTACACGATATTGCGTACAATTAAAAAGTCTCCCATTTTGAAAAATGGAAGAAATTATATATACCTAAAAAAGAAATAATTACATTATTGTTTATTTATTGATTAATAAATTAGAAATAAATAACCTGACATAAAATTTTGGTTAAAATTATGGTAAATGTACTTCTCGAACAACAGCAAATACTATTTGAAGTTTTTCGTACATACGAAATTTTGAGAAGCTCTATTCTTTTTGTTGTTATAACTGGAGATTTAAATGCTATATTGTACAGTTCATGATTTTGCTATATAAAGGACCTAACGTTATAAATTAAAACATTCGTAAAGCCAAAGATGTTAAACAGACTAAAATGGATTGTAACTTTCTAAAATTAACGACTCAAGCTCAATTATATATGTTTAATGGCAGAATTGAAAAGGTCTTGCCTTCTGAATTTATTATGTATTCACTTCGGGAAGCTCTATTATCGATTTGTTTATATGTTTAGTATTTCTAGTGGATTTATGTTTGGAGATTCAGGTATTATATTGTGATTTATCAGACCAATTTTCTGTTAGTTCGTTCTTTGGATTGAAAGAATTGTATCATATTGATTGTGTTATACCGAAGTATCAGATAATTGTCTATCAATATCAATGATATCAAGTCTTCTGAAGAACTGGATTTATTTATTCGTAAATTTAAATATTAATACAGATCTTGGAATGGATATAATTACCATTAATTTTATTAATCTTCTACCGCCAGCGGGTAGGCAAGTTCATCTTGATATTTATAACCATTTTTATAAAATATATATTATTTTTTCACTGAGTGTACAAAGATTGTTGAAGCGCAATGTAAATCTAAATTAAAAGAAACTTATGATTTAAATTAATAGGAAAATTTCAGAACCAATCTAGAAATAATTCTGTTGTGTAAGATGTATAATATTTATAATTTTTTGTTCATATTTTAAAGATTTTGAAATATGATAGTGTAGATTGCATGATTGGTATACTATGTTTATTAAGTTTTATGTAATAGGATACTTAAAACATGTTTAAATGAATATTAATTGTATTCTTGTAATTTTCTAAAGCCAACCCCCCTGTAACAAGACTTTTCTTATTACAATAAAGTATTTGTATATATATATTATCATAATAAATATTAACTAATTAATTATTTGTGAAGATTTCTGCTGTGTGAGATTTGTAATAAAATAATAAATGTTTTAATAAGTAATGATTACTTGCTCAGAAGACTACATAAAATTATTTCCCTCTTCTAGTTGATGTTTTCCTTCATCAGAAACATCAGCCATACAAGATTGCTTGAATGCATTCAATAAGAAAAATTCAACTGAAATTTAGTGCAGATTTTATAATTATTATCGCTTTTTAAAATTCATATTTTCATACAAATAATGCTATTTGCTGCATATGTTGAGAAGGAACTAAGGAACCAATATGGTGGCTTTATAAAGAACACGATTATCATAAAGAAAAAGCAAATGCTTCCATTAGATATCGCCATCTACTTTTATTATTCAAGGCATAAAATTGGCCAAGCGGTTCCGTTCTCTGAACACTGGGAGTTCGGTTTGTGGTTTCTCGCCTCCCCGGTCGGACTATCCGCGTGGAGTTTTCACGTCTGTAACGTCTGATAGGGGCCAGTTACTCTTAAAAGATCTCCTGAAAGGCATTATTCCCCGCGTAACGACCATCATAAACGCATACAACTACTATTACATGACAATTACGTCACACGGGGCAATATAGTCTAGAAGGTCATGCTCAACTAGCCGATACAAGACAATTCATAGAATAAATTTTATTAAATATATAAGAATATTAAGTTACAAAATGAAAACCTGTTAGATTGTCCTTTTATTTTCTTTCTTAGGAATCATTAACTTGAAATTATTAATATTAATTATAATAATAATTCTTTTGAATGTTTAATTTAACGAAGGAGGATTTAATACAAAATCAGAAAAATAAATTACACCGATTTTAATGAATATTTCTGAAGTTATTGATAAACACGAGATAAAACACCACAAATATTAAAGGTGTATGCATTTTGTCAGGATACAGTAAATGTTTTTCGTTAACTTGACGTCATTCCTACCTGTTTTTGTGATTGGAAAATCTAAAATGACAAACTGACGTAAATTGTATTCTATTCTAATCTTACGAAAGCTAAACAAATTGGTAACACGATCATCGACATTTTGAATGAGAAAGAACCGAATTATTAAACTAAAATGAGCAGATAAATTGGCGCATTCGTTTTGTCTAAATAATGTACATTTTTACGTCATGAATAAAAAGTAATTATAATGAACAAAGGATAATTGCATAACAATAATCCAATGCAATAATTTTTCAATGTTCTACTTCTACCTCGTTACTTTTGTCATTGCTATAATTTATAATTTAGATATTTATCACGTTGAAGTTAGCACGCAAACACGTGATTTTTATAAATGCAGAGCGAGTGTCTATTTTTACACGAATTTGCATAATATCTGTACGAATTGCAAAGATAAAACTTCCTTCTTGTTTTGTAAAATATGCGAAATTTTCTCAAAAAATTACATTTGTATATGCACTTTCTTACGTTCAGTTTTGTTTATTTCTTTAATCACTAAGAACTCGTTAACTTATTAATACATAAAATACATCTATAAAAAGTTATACAAACTTCATCCCTGTTATAACTAAGGTCTGGTTCTGTAAGTTAGATAAACGTAAATACTTAAAAAAAAAACAGCGAATTTTCGAGGTCACCTTCGTGAAAAACTTGCTTGTTAAAACCGAAACTGGTATCAGTAAGCGCTTACTCTTATTCTGTTATTCTTCTGTATTAATGTAGATTCTGTTTAAAGAGAACTTTAACAGAGAGTATTTTCATCGTAATTCGTATTGTCTAAAAGAGAAAACCCGTAATTAATCTATATAATGTTCAATATAATAGCAACTTGTTTCGGAAAAAGTGAAAAGTATATAGATGTGGAAAATGGAAGAGCATTAGTAACAGGCGGTGCACAGGGGATAGGAAAAGCTGTTTGTGAAGCATTGTTAAGTAGAGGATCTAAGGTAGGATTTTTTTCGTTCATAATTCTTAATCGTTGTATACTTGCTGATATTTAATATGAAATTAAAATTATTTAGCAAACTCGTACATTAAGTTGTTTGCTGATCGAATATAAACACACAAAAAATTAATAGGTTTACCTTGAACAGTGACAATTCTCTCCATTTTTTAAACAATGTTATTAATTACATAATTATAATACCCTTATAATATACAGGGTGGGCCATCGAAAACGAAACGGCAGAGTTATCGTGTTCGTCCAAGCAAATCGCTCGGACAGGTCGTTTTATTCTCAATATCTTCTGCAATAAAGTTTTTGCGATTTTGAACACAACAGACAATAAAAAATTTTAAAAACTCATTCATTTTTTATTAACTAAACAAACACTTATTTTGGAAAAATAGTAACACAAACTATTAACAAACATAAAAAAACCTTTTAAGCTGGACCGCATATGCAAGGAAAAAAATATTTTCCCTTGAGAATAAAATCAACCTGTCCGAGCAATTTGCCTGGACGAACACGATAACTCTGCCGTTTCGTTTTCGTTGGCCCACCCTGTATATACATACATACAGTGGAATCTCCAACAACAGCCACCTCTAAACAATAGCGTTTTTTTGTTAATTTGTGTATTTTATTTTTAAAAATATATATATGTCGTATTATTTTGCAGTCGTGGTCGTAAGGTCGAGTGTACGTTGAACAAGACAAAGAAAATTGGAGACCATAAAATAACACGTCCGTTCACTTTCGGATCCTCANTAACGGGGACGGGTACCTTGACGGGAGGTGCGTCGAACTACTGAGCATGTCGGATTAAAAAACGTCGGACTATAGAGGGACAACTGTATTAACTTATGCATATTATCTTAAAGTTATATTCGTAATGATATTAATTTTCAAAAAATCATCTTGAATATAACGGTAGAAAAAAACGAAATTGAAAGAAACATTTTCCTCGTACTGTACGTTTCGAATGTCTACAGTAAAGTGTGATTGACGAAATGCAACTGCAACTTATTGTTGAATGCAGTAATAGAAATACGCGAGATGATCGTAATTAAAGTATTCAACTCTGTGGAGAGATATGTCTAAAAATTTAATGGCATGGAGGCATTTCAAGACGTGTAGATGATATTTTCATAAAAACAATTAATACTAAAACTCACCATTATGGCACTTTTGGCGCTGCAAGTCGTGTGATTGTTGATTGTGGAGAAACGTGAGGTTTATCGAAGACATGTTACAAATTTGTCAACCTTAAAACGATATCACACTCCATGAAGAAGCATTACGATCAATGAACACACAACATTCATCACTTCAGGTTTGAGTTAAACCTGAGGTGATGAAAGCTGTGAAACTCCTGTATGAAAATGTCTTCGGCGTACTTTAAAAAGTCGCCATATTAAATCTGGATGCATTTGAATTGATAAATATTTCTGTAGATAGCGCGGAACAAAAGTATTTAAATTACGATCAACCGGTATAATCTGTCTCACACTACAATATATCTGTCTCACACTACAATAATTCAATTACAGATGCATACTTAAAAGCCAAGCATTCATTTGGAGCTTTAAATATTTTGATAAATAATGCTGGAGTCGTGGATGATAGAGCGGTGGACGTTAATTTATTATGTACAAAAGATTTATTTAAAAATCTCATTTTATTACTTTTAATTCTCTGATTAAAACAAATTACAGAAGGGCGTAATAAATGGCTGCAACATAGCATTAAAATACATGGAAAAAAATAATGGAGGAAATGGTGGTTTTGTTGTTAATGTTGATTCTATTGCAGGTATTTACAGATTTACTTCGTCTTACATAATGAACTATGTAAATTAATTCAGATATATTGTCTAGCCCTCCAAATTCTTCCATTTTATGGTGTCTATGCGGCAACCAAAGCCGGAGTAATTACTCTTACGAGATGTCATGGGGTAAGTAAAATCATTATAATAAGATAACCAAAAATATTTAGTTTATTTAGAGCAGTTTAAAATAAAATAGTTGTAATTTTCAATCTTCGTAAGGAAAACTTTAATGATAGACGATATATAGGATATATTAAAAATTTTGACTCAGGTTTTATTAAGAACAGAAAATTTTACACCACACTGTACTTCATTCCTCCTGCACCTGTACACTTACTGTTAACATCTTACCAGTTCTGGAAGCTACCTTTTTATTTTTTTTTAATTAATTAATATATAATTAATAAAATTATGTATTTTTATTTTAACATCAATAGTTAAATTACGAAAACAGTGGAGTTAAATTTACCTGTTTATGTCCTAATACTGTAAATACCGAATTGTATCGAAATGCTAATACAACATTGGATATAAAATTGGAAGAAATGAAAAAAAATAATCCACCATTGGAGTAATTTTACGTTAAATTTTTTGTTTGTGCTGTATGGAACCATTATAAGTACTGGAAAATTTATCAATATAATTAATATGCAACGTTCGCCAACTAAAAGAGGAAGACCACCACGTCAAAAGGCAAAATCAATTAGTAGAAAGGAAACTGCTTCGACCACTAATATTATGTTAATCACAGATTGTAATGAACACGTAGAAAGAACTTCTCCTGAACCACTCTCTGCAAATGCAGGTTTGAACCCTGAAACATCACTTCTAAGTTCACAAATATCAGGTGAGCCATTTGATTTTTTATCTTCACCAGGAAAATTGGAAAATTCATCTGATATGTCGGGTTTGACACTATGGAATAAAATTTCCGAATTAATTAATGTTTCTAACACGAGAATTTTAAATCAAATGACTATTATTAAAGAAGATTTGGACCAGATTCGTAATAGTATTCAAGAAACTAAGGATCAGAATCAGAAAATTAATAGCCAAATAATTAATCTTGAACAACAAATTGTTAATTTGAAAATAGAAAATGAAAGTATGCACTATCGAATGGACAATATGGTTAATGTGCAACATCGTAATAATATAATGTTTTATAGATATCCTAGTAAAACCAGTCCTACCAAGTTAGAAGTGTTTAATCTTATTAAAGAATCATTTGAATTACATGAAGTTACAATGGATGATCTAATAGCGATTATTCCAATAACTAAATCACAGTATCCAACAATTAAATTAATTATTAAAAATTCTCAAATAAGAGATTATATTTATTCGAGTTTTATAAAAATGAAACAACAAAATCTATCGAATCTATGGAAAGAAACTCAAATTTCACAGGACCTCACTAAAAGATCTAGATTAAGACGAAAACAATTAATTCCTTTTTTAAGCGAGTTAAAGAAAGCAGGTAAATATCCTAAACTCCGAGGTGATTCTATTCTGTTGGGCAATTATTCTTTGACGTATAGCTATGTGTTGGAGGAGCTGGTATACTCGGATTCTTTTACCCCGTTTTCTACTTCTGAGAATACTCTGCAATGACATATTATTAATTTAAATACACCTATCCAAGACTTACGCTTTGTGGAGACTCAAATTTCAAGTCCTTTGTCTGCTGCAAATAATAAATGAAAGTTTACACGATATTGCGTACAATTAAAAAGTCTCCCATTTTGAAAAATGGAAGAAATTATATATACCTAAAAAAGAAATAATTACATTATTGTTTATTTATTGATTAATAAATTAGAAATAAATAACCTGACATAAAATTTTGGTTAAAATTATGGTAAATGTACTTCTCGAACAACAGCAAATACTATTTGAAGTTTTTCGTACATACGAAATTTTGAGAAGCTCTATTCTTTTTGTTGTTATAACTGGAGATTTAAATGCTATATTGTACAGTTCATGATTTTGCTATATAAAGGACCTAACGTTATAAATTAAAACATTCGTAAAGCCAAAGATGTTAAACAGACTAAAATGGATTGTAACTTTCTAAAATTAACGACTCAAGCTCAATTATATATGTTTAATGGCAGAATTGAAAAGGTCTTGCCTTCTGAATTTATTATGTATTCACTTCGGGAAGCTCTATTATCGATTTGTTTATATGTTTAGTATTTCTAGTGGATTTATGTTTGGAGATTCAGGTATTATATTGTGATTTATCAGACCAATTTTCTGTTAGTTCGTTCTTTGGATTGAAAGAATTGTATCATATTGATTGTGTTATACCGAAGTATCAGATAATTGTCTATCAATATCAATGATATCAAGTCTTCTGAAGAACTGGATTTATTTATTCGTAAATTTAAATATTAATACAGATCTTGGAATGGATATAATTACCATTAATTTTATTAATCTTCTACCGCCAGCGGGTAGGCAAGTTCATCTTGATATTTATAACCATTTTTATAAAATATATATTATTTTTTCACTGAGTGTACAAAGATTGTTGAAGCGCAATGTAAATCTAAATTAAAAGAAACTTATGATTTAAATTAATAGGAAAATTTCAGAACCAATCTAGAAATAATTCTGTTGTGTAAGATGTATAATATTTATAATTTTTTGTTCATATTTTAAAGATTTTGAAATATGATAGTGTAGATTGCATGATTGGTATACTATGTTTATTAAGTTTTATGTAATAGGATACTTAAAACATGTTTAAATGAATATTAATTGTATTCTTGTAATTTTCTAAAGCCAACCCCCCTGTAACAAGACTTTTCTTATTACAATAAAGTATTTGTATAATAA